GTGCTGAATAACCCACACCCACACCCACACCCACACCCACGACCCACGAATTGTACCCACGACCCACGACCCACGACCATTAGTCAAACTCGGCCGGCTAAGTGAAAGGAAACTTCTTACTTAAACCTCTGAACGGCAAATGTTGATGGCGCCCTCTTTGTTCGCAATTTAATTTGGATGCCGGCGTGGAGAGGAATGTTAGGACTCTCTCTTTCCTGACAAAATTGTTTCCATTTCTCTCTTCTTTGAGCCTGTTTTTCTCTTCCTTTACTCAAGGACTTTACTTAATTTTGATTTATGTTTTTTATCCATGCGAAAAGACTGCCTTTAGCAGAGAACTTCCACGTGTGAATTTTGTCAAGTACGCACTATAAAATCCCGCGAATATTCCTCTAGAGGTACGCCCATTTACAAGATTATGAAACCTTCCTGATTCATTAACTTTGACTTGAAAATACGTTTTCTAAATAAGTCGGACGCTTTTTGAGAATTTTTAAATTTTCTTTTTGGAAACGTTAGGTAAAATGTCTAACTTCAATCTAGTCCAATTAAAGAAAAAACTTTTATTTCGGCCTCTGAAGGTGGGAAGTAACCTTAAAGCGGAATTCCCTCGTCAAGTAATGAATTATCCAACAATAATTACATTAAAAGTTTAGTTATTACAATGTCAGCGATTTTGTTATGAAGTACTATATAAGTACTTATTAAAATGAGGAACAACTTCTTCCCATGATTCTGCCACGAAAAAAAAGTTTATTACCCAGCTTAGTAATACGTGTATAAGAGCCTATTGACAACGGGATAATTGTAAATCTTTTTTTTTTTATCAATTTATCGCCTTTAATGTGTGAACTACATCCAATTTTTAGAAGACAAAACGACTTTGTAATGACTGCTGGAAGGAAGAAAATATCTTTCTTAATTGGGTGTAATTCCATGGGACATTCGGTTTCTCAGCAGTCGCTGCCAAAAAGCTGTAATGTCGTCTCAAAGTCGAAAAAAATTGTCCGTTTATCGATTAGGCGGGTAAACTAAATTAGGCTTAACTGTGCTAGTAAAAAGCTTAATATTTCCTACCAAAAAGTATCATGGTAATATCTTTGTGTAAATTGTAATTTTATTCCACCATGTCATTGAAAGAAGGGCATTTTCTGTCTTAAAAATTGCTCACTTAAATAAATATAATGCAGGAGGAGTAGCGGTAAAGAAATAATCAAGGTGCAATCGAATCGAAAAAATCTTCTGAAAAGTACTAAACATTTAGAAAAATGCATTAATTACATAACAATGTGCTACCATCCTACTTGAGGAAATGTTTCCTCACAACAATTTCATTTTCATAAAGAGAATGTCTGAATGTCCTTATACTACTTAAAGGGTAACAATCTCTAGAAAAAACTGGGTTACAGTCACTCATCACTCATTAGAAACACTGGGTTACACTGCATCGATGGGTGTGCCACCTAAAGTGCAGCCGATGATAGTTAACTTTAACTAAATAAAACACTAAGTCACACTGCACCCATAGGTGTGCCACCTAAAGTGCAGCCTGTGTTAGTTATCTTAATATAAATAAAACACTGGGTTACACTGCACCCATGGGTGTGCCACCTAAAGTGCAGCCTTTGTTTGTTGCCTTCAACCAAATAAAACGCTGGATTACACTGCACTCATGGGTGTGCCACCTAAAGTGCAGCCTGTGTTAGTTATCTTAGCATAAATAAAGCACTGGGTTACACTGTACCGATGGGTGTGCCACCTAAAGTGCAGCCTATGTTTGTTACCTTTAACTAAATAAAACACTAGGTTACACTGCACCCATGGGTGTGCCACCTAAAGTGCAGCCTATGTTAGTTACCTTTAACTAAATAAAACACTGGGTTATACTGCGCCCATGGGTGTGCCACCTAAAGTGCAGCCTATGTTAGTTACCTTTAACTAAAGAAAACACTAGGTTACACTGCACCTATAGGTACGCCACCTAAAGAGCAGCCTATGATAGTTACCTTTAACTAAATAAAACACTGGGTTATACTGCACCCATGGGTGTGCCACCTAAAGTGCAGCCTATGTTAGTTACCTTTAACTAAATAAAACACTTCCT